AAGAGATCCAGACAATATTCTCCTTTACCAATAAGGCCACACATAGTCCAGATTTATGAAAAGGGCTAAAATAACCCCTCTTTCTTTAATAAGCTCCAATTTCATCCTTAAATTACTTTAACTTCAATTTGACCCCAACTTTCACAAATTATTCAATTTTGACCCAAAACTTTTTTTTTTCACAAATTTTTTTTTTTTCAAAAACTTTTTTTTCCCGCCGGATTTCGGGGTTGACCGGCGGTCAACGCCGGTTTCCGGCGGTGACCTTTTAATTATTTTTTTTTTTTAATCATTTTTTTTTTTTTTCCTTCCGGATTTTTTTTCCGGATTCCGGCGTTGACCGGCGGTCAACGCCGGTTTCCGGCGTTGACTTTTTTTTTTTTTTTTTTTTTTATTTTTTTTTTTTCTTCCGGATTTTTTTTCCGGATTCCGGCGGTCAACGCCGGTCTCCGGCGTTGACTTTTTAATTTTTTTTTTTTTTTTTTTTTTTTTTTCTGTAACTTTTTTTTCCGTTTAAACAGCAATATTGCTGTGAATGACAGTAATATTAACTATATTACTGTTAAACACAGTAAAATTAACTAAACTATAGTTTAACACATTGATATTGCTATATTAATCTCTAGCACATTAATATTAACACAACAAAATTCATTATTATTGTATAATAAAGTAATATTACTATGTTGTCCGTTCAACAAATGTAAACAAAATAAAAAAAACCAAAAGAATTAATATTACTGTGAGTGACAGTAATATTACTATAGCAACAGTAATATTACAATAGTAGACAGTAATATTATTACGTTACTTCGTGAATAACTCGAACAAAACAAACACCCCAAAAAAATAATAATATTGATGTTGTTGACAGTAATATTATTGTGTTTACAGTTATTTTACTGTCAACGACAGTAATATAATTACGTTGACTTGTCAACAAATCAAAAAAAATAAAAAAAAATAATAATAAATAAAAAAATATAATATTGCATTAATTTACTGTCAACGGCAGCACAATTACATAAATGTAATGTCAACGGCAGTACAATTACGTTAATTAACTATCATTGACAGTATAATTACGCTAAATTACTGTCAGTGACAGCACAATTACGGTCAACGTGTAGCGGCGGGCGTGGAAAAACAAAACAAACCAAACAAAAAAAAAAAAACTTAAAAAAACACTAAAGAAAGAGACCGCCGGAAACCGGCGAAAAAATCCGGAAGAAAAGAAAAGAAAAAAAAAAAAAAAAAAGTCAACGCCGGAGACCGGCGTTGACCGCCGGTCAACGCCGGAATCCGGAAAAAAAATCCGGAAGAAAAAAAAAAAAAAAAAAAAAAAAAAAAGTTTAAAAAGTCAACGCCGGAAACCGGCGTTGACCGCCGGTCAACGCCGGAATCCGGCGGCAAATAAAAAGTTTTTGAAAAAAAAAATTTTTTTGAAAAAAAAAAATTTTTGGGTCAAAATTTAATAATTTGTGAAATTTGGGGTCAAATTGAGATTAAATTAAGTTAAGGATGAAATTGGAGCATATTAAATTATACTCCAAAAAAAAGTCAAAATTGAATTTTTGTGGTCAAAATTGAACTTTTATGGACAAAATTGATTAATTTGGATTACAATTAAGAATTGGGTATAAATGATTGAGGGTAATATTGGGATATACATGAATGTTTCCTTTAGTTATAATAAATATTAAAGGGATGGGCTTATTGGTGAAAGAGATATGTCCCCTATACTTAGAATAATAAACATGCTTGGTTGGGGACTTTTGCATAAAAATACCTTTATAGAACTGTACATCAATAATCAAGAATTCAAAGGTTCAACAGTTTTTCACCCGATTCCACAAATCGAGCTACCTAACTAATCTAAAATCTATCACCTACCACTTCAATTTTTTTTAGATAATTTTGTAAACGCATAATTACCTACAAAGTACAGATCTATAAAGCACAAATTATTACAGAACTCTAGATGCATATTAATCTGGTGTAAAATCCAACGAACCAAGCTACAAATCTAGTCATTAAATTCTAAACGAACAAAATTTATAAATTCACTTAAGAACCTTTTTCTATGGCGTATTTGACTTAGCTACCGCAAAATTCTACCACCATCACACATTTGTCTATTTCACAAGAAAATCTCAAATAATAACCAGATTCTCACACACACACACACACGCACAGACACATTTGTCTACCTCTGCTCTTTTACATATTCTAAGATTCGCATCAGCCGAATTTTCGCAACTGTATGATTTGCTGGAATCAGCAAAACATGTTTATGAACAAAATCAAATTACAAAAAAAAAAAACCTTTTCACACACACACTCACTCAGAGAGAAAAACACACACATATCACACAATTTGATGCATATATCTACCTATTATCAAATTCAATTCAACAAACATTTAATTTACGCCTCTTCACACACACACACACACACACACACACACACACACACACACACACACACACACACACACACACACACACACACACACACACACACACACAATTAGAAGCTTAAAATGCTACATGCATAATCATACCTCGACAGTCTGCACACGGTGGGCTTTCACAGACGAGGCGGCGGCAAGGCAACGGCAGAGGCGGCGGCAACACACCGGAACAGAGATCCCAAGAGAGTGAGAAAAAGATGGAGGGAGAGAGAGAGGGAGAGAAAGAAGGGGGGAGTTTGATGGCGTAGATTACAAATTGAAATTAGGGCAGTTTGGTGGCCGGGATGGTGGAATCGCGCCGGCAGAACGACGCCGCCACCAGCGACGGCAGGGCCGTTCCTGAGAATTCGGGGGCCCTAGGCGAGATTTAAAGAACAAATTAAACGGGGCCCCTATTTGATAAATCAATTTTATTAAAGGGTGTTCGGAATTAAATATACTAAAAACATACAAATAATGTTTTCTAAAAATGATGAAAAAAAAAATAACGGGGGCTCGGAGGCAATGCCCCCGAAACATTTTTTGAAATGTATGAATGTAAAATAACTTTAAATATGGAAAAATTTGAAAATTAACAGGATGATTTGTTGGTTCACTTCCTCTCATGACGTATAATCTTTATAGCAAACAGACGTCATAAATATTTATAACCCTTAAATACACTAATGAATATTGATTCTAATTTTAGGAATACAAAATAATTAATTAAGACATTATAAATTTAATATTTAGGGGCCCCAAGGTTAAGAAGTTTGTAAAAATATCTATTGATCATTTATTTTAAATTTATTTTAGAATTGATGTTCCAAAATATTATATATAATAAATTTAAAAAAAAAATAAGTGTTAATATATAAAGTGTATATAAAATAATTTGGGGGCCCTAAATTTTCGTAAAAATCCGGGGGCCCTAGGCGACCGACCGCCTACTTCGCCTCCCCTCAGAACCGGCCCTGGGCGACGGTAGAGTCGGAGAGAGAGAGGGAGAGAGAGAGAATGGAGAATTGGGCTGAAACGAATTAGGTTTTTAACCCAATTCTTTTATGCGACGAATTCCACAGAATCGACGCGAAAATGAAAAAAAAAATCTTAAATTAATTCATTGCGTCGATTCATTATAAATCGTCGCCACAAAATAATAAAAAATTAATTCCATTGCGACGTTTATATATTCGTAGCAATTTGGGCTCCAAAATTTGGGAAAGAGAAAACACTTGCGACGTTTCATATACATATTCGTCGCAATATTTATTAAAAAATAATAAAAGGAAAATAATTTATTCTAACTGCGACTGTTTCCTAAATCGACGCAACGGGAAAAGAAATAAATGCAATTTGTTTGCGTCGTTTAGTCACAATTCGTCGCACGTAACATAATAAATAAAATAAAAATTATTCTAATTGCGACGACGTGCATTTCGTCGCAGGGATTGAAGAAAAAAATATTTTTTTCAAACTCCTAGCGACGATTATCTAAATTTCGTCGCTACAATATACTTTAAAAAAAAAAAATTACTTTTTCGCGACGTTTGTCGCTTTTTCGTCTAAAAACTATGTGAAAATTATTTTGTTTTCTCGTTGCGACGTTTATTGACAGATCCGACGCAACATAGCGACGATACTCGTGTTTCGTCGCCAAGGTTTTGAGTCAAAAGCGGGATTTAAACTGTTGCGACTAATGTAGTAGGAATCGTCGCAAAATTGCGACGATTTGTATTTAGTCGCAAATTTTAACGTCGCCAGAACTGTGTTTTGGCCTAGTGTATTGGGGTGTAAATATACGCCCTCCACTTCAAATATCAAAATTTTAACCCAATCAAACAACCTCCATTGGTCATGTTCTGAGAAGGAAAAAGAGGTCCAACACCTTTGAATCATCTTCATCCCAACACATCACTAATCTGCATTTTTGCGTTCGCAATTAAAAAAAGGGTAAATTACAAACACCCCTTGAGGTATGGTCAAATTACAAAAAAAAACCCTCTTGTTTGGATAATTACATCTACCCCTCAGCTATGATTTTATTTACACCTCCACCCTTATGGTGCCAAATTCAACATAATCATCTAGATTCCGTGGAATGTGCTCTAGTTTGTACTCGTTTTGTGTAAAAGTAAAGTTTCCGATGCACCACAAACTGATATATACAAGCTAAAAAACACATATTATAATCATCTTGTTTCAGAATGTAGAGTTCGAATGGGATAAAACGGGTACAAAAGTGATAATATTCCATATAATCTTGAAGATTCCACTAATTTTGAGGAGTTGAGGGGGTGGTTGTAATTATCCAAACAAGAGGGGTGTTTTTGTAATTTGACCATACCTCAGGGGGTGTTTGTAATTTACCCTTAAAAAAATGTGGATATACCAAGAAAAAAGAGAGAAATGGGAGGGAGAAAGAAGATAGTTATGCCATGAGTGAAATAAATTATGCAGATTAGAGAGAGGAGGATGATTTTGTTTTTTGAGAAATAGGAAACCAAACTTAATAGCTAATTCATGGGTCAAAACATTTCCAGATCTTTTAACAAAGGAAAACTCACAGAAATTAAAAGAACCAACAATATGTAAAATGCTTTCATCAGATGCTCCAAATGAAGAGAATGAATGTTCCCCTGATATGAGAGATTCGATTAGCTGTTGACAATCTCCTTAAGATAATCGAACTCCATCCCTGAGCTCGAGCTTTTGTTATGGTTTCTAGATCCGCATGTGCCTCACACTCCACAGCTTTTGGGCGGCACTTTTCTAACTGCCCACCACAAACACATTTCTCGCCCAATCACGAGCAACCATTGACAATGAGGAATAATTCGCCACACACCGCGTCAGAATTAATTTTTATCAAACCCTCATTAGGCGGCTTCCATGCGTAGCAGCCTCATACGATTCATCCATTGCCACATTGAGTTAGCACGACCCCATCGAATGAAAATTAAATGGAGCTGAATTCCAAATTCGTCGATTGCAGGTACAATAAAAATCGCATGAAGCATCGTTTCTGTATGGTGGCCACATCGATCACAAACCGGATCAGGAATAATCCGACGTCGAAACAGTTCATGTCACTTTGAAGGCTCCGGAGAAAAAAGGAGGTCTTGCCGATGTCTCTCGGATGCATAGTTTCCATTGGTAGTCTGTTTGCGTTGTGCAATAACCGGTCGGGGATTACTAGGGTTTGGAAGCGATTGGACTGGGTGATAATTAATTATGATTTTCACCTTCTATTTCCGTCTCCGAAGGTGCATCATCTTGAGAGGACTATGTCACACCATGCACCTATGAGCATGCGATTTGAGCACGGTACTCGCACGATTAGCCGGGGTTTTATTTTCCAAAGTATGTGGGCTGATCACCCTTCATTTCAAGATGTGGTTTCTCATGCGTGGGCCTTTCCAGTAGACGGGTCTCCCTCGTGTGTCTTTAGTTTGTGTTGTACTCTAACCTAATTTTATAGGCATAACTTTAGATTAATTTTTTTTTTTTTCCCACATGTTTGCAAGAAGTTATCTATTTGTATTTTCAGTTTTCTTTTTGCAAATCTTATTTGAACTTGCACATGTCGCTTGTTGTTCGCAATAACAATTTCTTTTTTTTTTCTTCTGCTATTTTCCTTACCTTATGTTATTTTTTTTTTTTATGAAACACAAATGTATAAATCAGGCAAACGTCGCCAAATTCAAAGGAATAACAGTTCCTTCATTATAAGCAAGAGAATTAGAAGACGCCAAAGCGTGAGCTAGCCGATTGTCAATATGCTTAACAAATTGAAAGAGAAAAATTGAATCAAACCAACAATACTATCAAGAGTAGCACCTTAACTGGCCAGTGACTTGCTGCAATCACGGAGGTCACTAAAGACTTGAAGGCAATCTCCTTACACAATAACCGGATTCCATCCTTTCTGTCGAGCTAACTCCACCGCAATCCTGGCCGGTTGCGCTTCTCCATCAACTGGTTGCGGTCTGCGCATGAATTGTCGGACCTGTCAGTATAAAAAATGTACATATTTTCATTATTTTATAACTATTTAAATATTTATAAATAATTAAAAATTCAAAAACCCGGTCGAACCTCGTTGAACCGGTTGAACTGTGATCCAGTTGTGTGTCCGGTTCAATCTCCGGTCCAGTTTTCAAAACATTGCTCTTTTTCCTTTGTGTAACCCCACAAGGTTTGAACGAGTCACCAAACTCTTTACAATAATGGAATAATAAAAAAAATTTGACCAAAAAACAAATTATTAAATATTTAATATCTCCATAATTAAAAATAATAGATACCCATCCATTAAATAAATCAATACAAACTTATTTCATCAATCATTTATCCCTCTCATGCATAAAACAATTTACAATACATAATTAAAATTCCAACACGAATTAAATTAAACCCCAAATACAAATCTTATCTTTCAAGAGAAACATAAATTAATTAGCTACTCTCTTGGGGAGAGAGAAAGAAGAAAATACGGATGAAACAACAGAGAATATGAATCCAATGAAGAGAACACCAGCTGCCGCATTTGCTTTGTCCAGAAAATTATGCTCAGCATCATTCGTTTCTATCCTGTTCAAATCCACCGATAGCCCGAAACATGCAGCTGCTCCAGTTGCCAATACGTACGATAGTGCCTGCTCGATGCATCAAATATATTTATTTTTCTATTTTTTCTCGTAAATTTTGACATTAAATTGATTCTTTAACTAATTGCATAAGGTTTTTGAGAAAAAAAATACAAGAAAATAAAATAAATTTTTAATGTGTACACCTTGTCACCGAAGAATTCAACGAGAGCGAATCCATCGCCTCCACGGCGATGTCCGGTGGTCACGTGAAATAATGCGAATAGAGTTTGAAGGATCGTATATGCCAATCCGATCGCGGCACTCGCCAACATGTATCTGCACCAAGTCAAATTCAGTGTGTTGTATAATTAGTCCTGAAATTTACTACAAAGTCAGTTTGAACAAAAGTTACTATATAATTTATAATTTACTGCCGAAGGGAAAAAAAATTAAAAAGACGCAAACTTACTCATGTTCATGATATTAGTAGTTATCCTGCCATACGATATTAATTTTGGGGTCATTACAAATAAGCCCATCAATGGGTACGTATTCATAGAGAGATTCAAATAAAAATCTCTTTTACCAGTAAGTTCACATATGGTCTAGATTTTTGTAAAGGACTAAAATAACCCCTCATACTTTAATATGTTCCAATTTCATCCTTTACTTAATTTAACCTCAATTTGACCACAAATTTCACAAATTATTTAATTTTGATCCAAAACT